GAGGTAATTTGCAATAAATTGAGGTCAAATGTAACGGTTAGTTTTTTTTTCAAAAACAAACAAAAAAATTCTAATAGCTAAATCTCATATGTAACAGTTCCTCAGATTAAAAGGGTTCTCTTGATGGGGTTTGCCCACTCTGTTCCCTTAGGCGCTTCAGACACTCTGATCCTATGACCATTCAGAGAAATGCTTTAGAAACGTATGCATCTTTCTAAAACATTTCTCCCAATGGGCAGCTAAGTGTCAGCTGATGCTCTCAACCTATCGCTGGTAACCAAGGGAAAAGCCTACACATTACTGCAGAGTAAGGAGGAGGCAGGAGAGGCAATGAGTGGATGGGCACCATACAGAGAACTTTGGAAATAATAAAATAATTGAGAAATAAATGTGAAAAAAATATTAATCAACAAAGAAACCCTAATGTATACAAAGATGTCTATCACTGTCAGAAATACAAAAACACCCCCATCTCTTGACTTTAAGCTCGTTTGAGCAGGGTCCTCTTCAATCTATTGTTCCTGTACGTTTTTGTAATGGTCTCATTGTTAAATCTCCCCCTCTTATAATATTGTAAAGCGCTATGGAATTTGTTGGCGCTATATAAATGCCAATAATATTAATAAAAATAATTTTGCTTTAAAAAGCATTGCTTTCATATTGCATATTTTAGAGTATGCATCTAGTTTAAACAGCAACTAGATGCATACTTGCAAAAATGGGATATAAATCTTCCTGCCAAATATCTGACTTTTCCAGTTTTTGGAACCTCTTTTTGTTTAATGATATTCTCAATAAGGAAAAAAATACTTAAAAGGGTCATTCTAGGCACCAAAACCACTACAGCCCATCCCTGCAAGCTGAGCAGTGTTCACGTTGCTTCCTAATGCCACCTTTAGTGGCTGTCCCTCTGTTTACAGGACGGCATCTTCACGTTCAGCAAAGTGACACAAAATGTTCCCTGCTGAGTCAATGCTGTTTGGAGCGGTGCGGCAATTGCCATGCATTCGCACTAGACTACAATGGGAAAGCATTAGATTGGCCTAGATCAGGATTGATGATCTCAGCCACAGAAAGTGGGGAGAGACCGGTGGGCCAGGGGAAATAAGGTAAATAAAACAGTTGAATTAGGTTCATTAAGAGGGCTTAATTCTAAGAATGTTGCCCATGCATTCAAAAAAACTGCAAGCAAGATTTTTTTTTAATAAATAAGAATATTATATAAAAAAAAAATTATATGGTCACGCCGTATTTCCGACTCTGCTTTGTATTACCCACCTTTCCATTTTTAAAGTAACCATATTCTGGACAGGTTAACAATTTTGTGAAACATCCTATTGAATGTCACAACACTCTACAGCAACAGTTTGCTGCCAGAGTTTGTCTATGTGGACTACATTAGAAAAGATGCCACTATTGCTCGGGCCACAAAGTTTAAGTGAAGGTTCCCTCCTCTTTTGTCAATATGGAACATGCTTCAGATATGGGTGTATCCATCTACGTTCACAATGCCAAGCACAACTATCATTTTGAGGATGATGAAAAAGAAATATGTAAAAAAAAAAAAAAATGTATATATATATATATATATATATATATATATATATATAAAAAAAATCAATATGGTTGATGGCTGCCTAGGTCTAAGACAGGAGTTTGGTAGACCTGTTTGGGCCTGGAGCCCAGGCTCTGGCTGCAAGGGTGCCGTTCTTGAGCCAGCAGGGAGAGCAAAAGATATTCCTGCTCCACCCTGTGCTCCCTCAAATGCTGGATGGGGCTTTGTGGTCAGTACTACTATTGGGTGCAGATCAATTTTAGAGATCCCTCACTGTCACCTGGTTCTAAACACAGGGAAACGTACCAAAACAACGTAGCACCTTATGTCCCAAAAATGCAAAGCAAAAATGTTAGGCTCTAGTTGATTTATATACCTAAATACCATGGTGCAGAGTTGCTCAGCTCTGTAAAGCAATCCATATTACTCAAGACGCACACTTTAGAGAAGATATGAACAACTTTGTAAGTTAAAATCAAAGTACAATGATTGCATTAAAAGACATCTTAAGTTAATTTTGGATTCCCAATACATTTCAAGTCTAAGCGATATTGGTTAGCTGAAAGGATTTCGTGGTTGTTCCAGCAGAGTATCGGACATAGAATTTGGACAAATTACTTCAAAATTAATTTTTGTACATGTATATTTAAAGGGAGGCTCCAGACCCTAAAGCACTGCAGCTTGCTTAAATTATTTGTATAAAGAGTTTGTACTCTTGCTTTCTTTTTACACAAAGTGCAGATTTCAATATATATTAACCTTATTGTAGGCAATTGCTCAGAGCACCTGCCTTGCAAAGACTTCTCACTGAGTTGCAATGGGAAGTCTGTGATTGGACAGCCACATAAAGTCTGGGCGGGGTTAGAAGGGGAGGACTTGCAAAGGCTGCAGACAAGAGAACTGCAGCTTTTGCGAGATGTTTTTAGATATACCTACAATGACAAAATAGCATAACTAAATGCATACATTTCAATTGGAGTATACATACTTGACAATTATTATTATTTTTTTTTATATTTTGTCAGTGGAGTTTCCCTTAAGACTTCCTGAACGGACAGCAGTGTGTGGAGCAAGCTATTGCTTACTTGTTTGTGTCTTACACAATTGTTGACTTTTGTTCGCCAGCGGTCTCTTGCTATTTACTTGCACTTACTTTTTAATTTCGTCTGGAAGGCTACATTTTGGAAGCTTCTTAAGTGCCATGTCCAAAAATCTCTCTGTGAAAATAAAAACCAAAAAGAAATAAAGCAGAGGTTCTAGATGTTAAAAGATCACGTTTTACACAGGTATATTTTAGTGTAAATTACAGCCTAGTATTAGCATTTAAAGGTTCTAAAAACATGACCCCTTCATGGCTGTGTTTTTGTAGTTTCGCCAGGCATTAATGACTAAATCAACCTTGGTATGTCCGCTATGTGTTTGCTCAGCAGTAATTTTCCTTGCTGTTATTAAGTGTGCACACACACATACTAGGACAGTTAGGAGTTTTGTTTGGATCCCAAGGAATGTGTTTATGTGTAATTTCACAAGAGTTTTCATCATCATTAAGTAAGAATATAATCTAATCTGACAAAAATGTACCTCCCAATATTGTTTTAAATGGTGTGCAAATATTTTTGATATTTTTTTTTTTTGTCTCTTACAATGTCTTGCTTGTATTTTGGGATTGTTCATGCAAAAAAAGTAAACATCCTGGGTAATTGGGGGTGTTTGTAAAAATATATTGGCATTCATTTTACAACATGTCAGGTAAGTAGCAGATTTTAGGGGAACATCAGTGATGTGGTCATTTTACTTTTTATGCCTAGTGTTTTATCAACGGAAGTGAGAAGGGTAGGACATTTTTACAGAGTTGGGGACTTTGATGGAACACAGACACATGGATAATTAGCAATGCGCCATTTCAATTTATAATGATTACAGTGCATCATTTGCAAAAGAGGAAAACACTGCCTCTTTTGTGTACAGCATTTTGATGATTTTTTTTTTTTTTAATGCATTGACCTCAGCAGTGCTATTTCACGCTGTTTTTAAATGTATGCATTCACTTTATTCTGTGAAATGTAAAGCATAAGGTGTGCCAATGCAAAAAAAACCCCAACATGACGGCACCTACATGCAGGGGCGTACCTAGAGCATTTGGCACCCGGGGCGGATCCTGTGCTTGGCAATCCCCACCCAAAAAAAAAAAACCTGTAAAAAATGTTAAAGGTTTTCTTTAATTAATCCACCCCCCCTTAATTAATCCACCCCCCTTAAATGATACACACACCCTTAATTAATCCACACTAATTAATCCACCCCCCATAATTAATCCACACTAATCCACCCCCCATAATTAATCCACCCCCATAATTAATACTCCCCCATAATACACCCCCCATAATTGATACACTCCCATAATTAATACACCCCCTCCTTATTTCTCCCCCCCCTTTCTCTTTCTCATCCCCCCCTCCCCCCTACCTTTGCTGTAGCGTGGCCGAGCCCTGTATAGTCGGCGGGTACAGGTAGCTTTTGTTTCCTGTACCCGGCCGGACTAACAGGAAGTGCACACTGTGTGCACTTCCTGTTAGTCCGGCCGGGTACAGGAGACAGCTGCTCCCTGTACCCGCGGACTATACAGGGCTCGGCCACGCTATAGCAAAGGAAGCTGACAGGAGGGAGCGCTGAGCGTTTCCCTCCTGTCAGCCCCTCTCCTCAGGCTGCGCCCGGGCGGTGCGGTCCGCCCTCATGGACGCACCGCCCGGGCAAAGCTGCAGCCGCCTGAGGCTCTCTACAGAGCGCTCGGGCGGCTGCAGCATGGGGGGGGCGGCGGGCTGGCCATGGCACCCCCCACCCTGGTGGCACCCGGGGCGGACCGCCCCCCCCCCCCTTAGTACGCCACTGGGTAGAATGTGTATGTTCTATGTGATAAATGTAACAGTATGTCATTTTATGTCTTTTATTGTCCTTTGTCTGCCATGTGGCTAATGGAGATAATTGGATTACTTCCCAATTATCTCCAGGACAGAAAGGAGGGGTTGTGATGCATTGTGAGATTGTAAGCTTGTCATTGGACAATGTCCAATATGTTTCCCAGTCTTCCATCTGGTCCCCTAGGGGAGTGTCCACCAGGTGGGAGACCTGCATAAAAGCCGGGCAGGTAGCCCCAGTAAAACAGTTCTGCTTGATCCTCAAACGAAGTGTCGTCTCGTTCTTGGGGGGAATTGTATTGTATGCTGTTAGAGTTCGACTGCCAGGAGTGTAAGCTATTTGTATGGTTTTTCCTGTTCGGCTGTTTAACAGCATTCGTGTGTTGGTGAATTCGTGTGTTTCCGGTTTGGGAGTTGGTGAATTTGTGGGTTTCCTGATTGGTGCTTTCAGCAGCTGTTCGTGTATTTAAAAGTGGAATATCACCTAAACAGTTTTTAACCCCTTGTGTGCTGAAACAGTCCGTTACAGTTTCTTTTTTGTTGCATTTAATTTTCACTACCCTTATGTTCCATGTTGCAAGTTTATAATGCTGTTTAGACAAGATGTCAATGTAATATGCCCTAGTGGATAATAACCAGAGCTTCTATGCCGTCACCACACACACTAATACCCTGCTACAAGCTGCACTAGTCTACTGCCGTCATGACACAAGGCGTACTGCAGCACAGTGCGTGATTTCTCTCCTCCACCCCCCGACAGCTACCTTTACTACCTCTCCAGAGCAGTCTATAATGCCCATGAGTCCATAACAACTCCTCATGGAGGAGATGCCTTTACGTAGCCTACTCACACACTTATCTAACTGTAACTAAAACTACGTTTCCACCCTAATGATCCATATGTGGAACCTTACTAACTACCAGCACGACAGTCTGTATATATCTATGTACCTGACATTACTCCATACTACCCACATTGGATCACACCTCTTCTACTACCACTCAACCTAGATTACAACCTACCCACGCTAGTAAAAGTGTCTTAAATTGCGTTTCTATCTTACCCACATCGAGTGAAATTTTTTTATATGTTGACTTTAAATAAAAAAAAGTGCAAAGTTCTAACACACAATATACTGAATGTCTATTAACCCCTTCCCGACCGAGGACGGTTCAGGACCGTCATCGGCATTTTTGCGTTGCCGACCGATGACGGTCCTGAACCGTCCTAACGGTCAGAGCTACTTACCTGATCGCCGTCGTTCCCCCGGCGGCGATCAGCGTGGCTCCGGTTGTGGGGAGACTGTCTGCAGCCCAGACAGTCTCCCCACGGCAGATTAGGACCCCTGTGGCCATGTGATCGCTTAACACAGCGATCACATGGTCACAATAGGTGTCCTAGTGTCTGCCTGCAGGGGGACTGTCTGTGCTGACAGGCAGTCTCCCTGCTAGTGTAAAATAAAAAAATAAATAAAGTTAATGTTAATAAAAAAATAAAAATAATTATATATGTGTATATATGATATATAGACATATATTATATCTATATAATATATGTCTATATATCATATATATATATATATAATGTCATACTAAGTGTATTTTTATATTAATATGTACTTATATTAATATAAAATACACTTATAATTAAATTACACACGTATATATATAATATATATAATAACTATATATATTGTATATATATATTATAAAATATAAATAATAAGTAATTTAAATTAAATATTTTTTTTAAAATAATAATAAAAAATTAAAAAAAAATTATATAGCTATATGAAATTTTATTCTAACTGTATTTTAAAATTAATATATATTTATATCAAAATACACTTACAATGAATTTGTATATATATCTATGTATATAAAAATAAATAAAAATAATAAGAAATATACATACGTCCAAATACAAAATTACATAAATAATTATATAAATATACACGTAGACTTCAAATATATAAATATGCATATATATTTAAATTCTACGTGCGTATTTATGTAATATTTTTACATAATTCAGTAATTTTATTGATTGCAATTTGAGGGACCTGCCTGCCAACCCAGGCCGAAATTCCAGAGAATTTAATTTGCTAGCACTGTATTTTACCCTGTAACGTTCTACGACACCCTAAAACCTGTACATGGGGGGTACTGTTTTACTCGGGAGACTTCGCTGAACACAAATATTAGTGATTCAAAACAGTAAAACATATCACAGCGATGATATTGTCAGTGAAAGTGACTTTTTTTGCATTTTCACACACAAACAGCACTTTTTACTGATGATATAATTGTTATGATACGTTTTCCAGTTTTTAAACACTAATATTTGTGTTCAGCGATGTCTCCTGAGTAAAACAGTACCCCCCATGTACAGGTTTTATAGCATTTTTGAAAGTTACAAGGTCAAATATATGGGTCAAATATTTTTACATTGAAAATGGCCAGGTTGGTTAAGTTGCCTTTGAGAGCTTATGGTAGCCCAGGAATGAGAATTACCCCCATGATGGCATACCATTTGCAAAAGAAGACAACCCAAGGTATTGCAAATGGGGTATGTCCAGTCTTTTTTAGTAACCACTTGGTCACAAACACTGGCCAAAATTAGCGTTCAATTTAGTTTTTTTACTTTTTTCACACACAAACAAATATGAATGCTTACTTTGGCCAGTGTTTTCGACTAAGTGGCTACTAAAAAAGACTGGACATACCCCATATTGAATACCCTGGGTTGTCTACTTTAAAAAAAATATGTACATGTGGGGTGTTATTCAGAGATTTATGACAGATAATAGTGTTACAATGTCACTATTGATAAATTTTAAAATGTATGTTTTGAAACCGCAATATCCTACTTGTACCTATAGCCCTATAACATGCAAAAAAAAGCAAAAAAGCACGTAAACACTAGGTATTTTTAAACTCAGGACAAAATTTTGAATCTATTTAGCAGTTTTTTTCATTCGCTTTTGTAGATGAGTAAAAGATTTTTCAAGTAAAAGTCAAAAAACATGTATTTTTTTTCAATTTTTCATCATATTTTTTTATTTTTTTTAAATTAAAATACATGAGA